CGTGGCGGGACTTGCGGGAGTAGGAGATGTGGCGGGACTTGCGGGGGTAGGAGACGCGGCAGGAGCAGTAGGAGATTTGGCAGGAGTTGCGGACGTTGGTGTTTTTGCTGAAGAAGGTGAAGTTGATGTACTAGCACCACTTCCTGAAACGACGATGTCAGCACACGTCACGTAAGTTTGCTTTGCGATGTCCGAGTGCCAATTAAACTGAAAAACGCAGTCACCGGGTGCAGAGCATTGAACGTCAGAGGGCATCGTGACACTTGTGCTACCATCACCCCCGGATTCTGCGAATGGACTGATCTCTGAAAGGAGTTTGTAACTCTCATAAGTGATTACACCTTTTGCATCCGTGCTCGGTTTAAGAATACTGAGCTTTAATGTACCCGGATGGGGTGCTTGAATTGTCCACTTAACTTCAAATTCCTTGCCTGGACTGAGGGTCGTAAACTTGCTGCCTTCCTCATACACAGTCCCACGGCAACCATTCATTAAATTGAACCATGGCGCCGGTGGAAAGTCGGCTTGCTTGTTTTGCGAGAGTAATTCGAGGGGCGCGATCTGCATCTCGCTTAGATTGATGTTGACCAAGGCTCCAGAGGCTGTGTGGTACTCTGGCGACATTTCCCTGGCCACTGGATAAGTCATTTGGCCGTGCCCTTCGACATTTTGAAAGAGAAGAGCGGCAGTTGCGAGGGAAGCGATGAATGAAGACGACATTCTTATCTCTGTTGTTGTGAATTAAGAAATGAAACAAATAGAGAAAGAATGGGCAAGAGGGGTGGCTGCAACCAGCGATCGCCGGCTGTATGCTCTCTGACTTCATTGCATCGTAGGATGTTGATGATAGTGTAGAGGAGGGATTAACGTCGCACTTTTATTTTAATAACAGCTGTCACCAATCGTTCTTGGAACCTCAAACGTTTGTTAAAAACTGATAAACTATCATTGTCGTCATTTAAAGTTAAACTCCGTTGAGATGCTGTCGTTGATCATTACCACTAGTTTTTTGGTCACGGCGAAATTGATGACGAGTTCAAGACGTAGAGGAAAGAAGAAGCTATTTAGTCAGAAATTTGATGCTGTACCATGATCAGATTCTCATATAAAAATACTGAGCAAAAGTCACTATGTCATCGAAAACATTACGTTCAAATGTTGACAAGAGGAATCAATGACACGCATCGATCAAGAAGTGTGCAAGCAAAAAGATTCATTGCTTTCCATTCAGTCTTAAATCTGGAGAGGTTCCCATTACTTTTTCACCCTATAAATTATTTTTTATTCGTTCTGCTTATACGAAATATGTGTTTTGACTCACTAACAAAATTGTTACCACGTACTTGGATCTGCACTGATTATGGTCAAAAATGCGACGTCAGTCGTGTTGGCTTTTTTCTTTCATAAACTCGTATTTAATGCTCTGCTCAGTAAATTAGGGTCTCGTTATATTTGTTATCATTTGATTCGAGATATGACAATCTAAGGTGTTAAAGCCTTGGTACTTCAAAGGATAGTTCCGCGTCCTACGGACGGCGTTTGAGCCAGTCCACCGCGTATGTACTAACACGAACTGTACAGATTAAGCTTCTTCTATGCAAGGTGTCATGGTGACCAAATTGCACTTGGTAGTTTTGAGTTATTGCGATGCCTATATTTCTAAGAAGGATGAGAAAAAATGCAGCAGGGTTGCCGACAGACAAAGAGTTTGTGCTGAGAATCGCTCAGAGGTTGGGTGTGTATATTACTCGACAGCAGAACCGAAACCTTAAGAAGAACCAAAGTCTTCTTTTTGCTTTGCCTTACGAATTTTAGCTTGCAATCTTTTAAGACTACAACTCGTTATAAAATGCATTTTGTTTGACGTGCAGCAACACACCGATTATGAATATTCACATTAAACTTTTGGTTATAATATTGTATTTCTGCACAATTGTACATAAGATTAGAAAGGATGAACACAATATACTATTGTGCACAGTAATGATCCAATTACACCCTTCCCACTAAGATGTGAATCACTGGGGCTAAAATTTCTTTAGTCTGTTCAAGAATCGTGCAAAACTGAGCATTCAACAAGCAATTACAACAATTGAAGTCAAAATCCACATTTTGCAAGTTTCAGTGTCTGATCCTTAGAGCAAAATTGCACATGTATTTATCTGTCATGCACTTGATCAAATGACCCAGCGAGCGATCGAAAGCGTAGTCCCCACGACCAAAATTTTTTGAACAATAAGGACTATTGCAGCGACATTTCGAGTCCTGAACAAACACCTACGTCCATACATAAATACATACCGTCAAGCCAATCAACACGGAGACACTCCCTGCTTTCTGCCGCCTTTTTGCACCATTTATGAGTTTCGCATTGCAACACCCCGCCGCAAATCATAACGGTATCTTGCTTTTTGCTGGCGGGTTATACCTAGTTTAAAAAACTCATCTTGTTCATCTCCAAGCTTGATGCAGCGGGGCTGCCGTAGCTTAGCTCTTGAGGAAGCATAATTTAGATCACCGACCTTTCGTTCTTTACAAGAACCATTACGAGTGTAGCGGGTCGCAATCCGCTACCTCCAAGAGTAGTAACTACCTTAAAAAATTTAGAATTTATTTACCAAGGCTAATAAATTCTTTGGTTTAGATTCAAGACTGGTTTTTTTTTCTGCGGCTAAAACCGCCTGATTGTAAATGTATAGATTTTACTTAATACGTATAGTAAAATCTAAATTTATGCGAAATACTGGCTACCTAGCCACATACTGTATTCTTTTTTTGGGTGCAGTCAACCACGCACACGTGGTGTGACACACACACCTTTTACCAGGGTACGTGTAACCCCGTTACACTTAAGCTTGGACGCATGTGCTTTGGATAGCGCAAAAGATGTTCACGGGGTTAGTGACCCAAGTTCCTGGCGAGTGGACGCGTGTTAAAATCATCCCGTTGTGACTTCAATGTCATTTCATTAGCGGTTTCTCGCCCGAATGGAACTGAGCCTTTACACACCTATCCGTTTGGATCCCACACTGAGTGTGAAAAAGCTGCAAGAAAGCTAACACTTTTTGCAAGTTGTCACCCCAAAAGAGTATCTCCTGCGCTTACAATAGCAGCAGTTGGAAAGCCCACCCCCTTCATGAGATATATACCCTAAATTTCGAAAGCTGGTGAGAGTTACTCAAAGTATCGTACTGAATTTGCTCACTGAGCAAGGTGTTCGAGCAGTATCATCTGTCTCACAGCTTTGCAAGTCAGCATCAGTAAAGCGAAAAGGTGTTAGTGCGTCGACGGATGCTTGAATATGCAAAGTATAACAACGCGGATGCCTAGGTGTACGTCAATGCTCATAACGCTGCTGTCAATAGCCTTGCTTGTATTCTTGAGACAGCAACCGATTAAGTGTCAAGCTTTACCACAAGGTAGACCCCCCAATCGTAAGCGCGATGCTTGGAGTAAAAATGCCGATTTTCCAAGGATGTATCGGTCGAGGGTGAGCTAGGTTGAAGAAAAAAACGGCGCTAAAGCACTCGTGCCAAAACAGAGCCCCAAAGTTTTCATAGGCTTACATAGACATCTCTTCAACTTTCCCAGATACCGGTGTCAGCCCTGGTGTATCCGCTGGCCTACTAACCTTTCTACGTGAAAGTAGACCACTCTTGCTCGTCGGGCTACGAAGACGACACTCCGACAGCTTAATGTCACGAGATCCGTCAAAAAGACAGCAAATCATCGCTTCTAGAATTTCGGCGTGAAGTCCGTTTAGTCTGCGACGAGTCAGATCTTGAACGCGTTTACTCGTGTACAATATCGCACTGCGCTGTTTGAGGTATGTGCAGCGGATCTAACGGTATCGCACACTTCATATCAGAGAGGTCAGGAGATGAAAGAAGCGCTGCTTTATCTGTATCAAGCGCTTTGGTTCCGGAGAACTCGTAACTGTAGGATTATGATGTGTCTTTGGTATGCCCATATCAAACACAGGATGTGTTAGCAACTTTTGGGGTGATAGGGATAAAACGCAATCTCTTTTATGTCGTTGAACGTTCTGATGTAGCGTGGTCGCAGCGTTGTCGTATCGATGCATATATGAATAGAGCTTCATTCAGTTCTTAAAACCAAACAATGTACGCAACAACATATTCATTTGTGCCGGTATCTGGTACTGGCGTGTTGCTTGTGATCAACCCGACTTTCATCCTTAACGCCACGGACCCATGACGCCAACTCCGATCGTCTAAATTACAAATTTGATCGGAGGTATAGCCAGCAGATACCAGCAAGTTTAATTGGCTCGACAGCCCGTCCCCTGTAAAGATCGTACCCTTTTGTAGTGGTGGCATGGTCGTCCAGGATTATCACCATTTATAAAATTGAAGTAACGAATTTAGAGGCATACTCTTGGTTCTTAATGAGCGAGAGCAACTTGCTCCACCTCTGTTGTGTCTCCTTACAAGCGCTTCGGAGAAGATCCTAATCACACTTTAACCGCGTTTCGTCTATCCGTTTGATTATGGAATTGGCATGTTCAATCCTGTTGGCACCGTCCCGACGCCAACGCTTCCTCGTTCACTTGCGCCGGATCCCGGTACGGCTTGGGCAAGCTTACGTAAGAAACCGGGTGGATTCGCATTCTTCTGCGAAGGTTCAGCGTAAATGCAAAGCCTGCGCTCGGCCAACCAAAAGTTGAACCAACAGCTGGTTCTGAGTGCTGAGTGCAGCAATTCCGTATCCAACGACGCAAGGCGCTCCACCATCGCACGAATTGACGTATTCGTCTTCTCGACGGCTAAGAGCCGCTCCGACAGTGCACGATGGTTCTCAACGTGAGGCAGCCGGTGCACAAAGTGTTCTAGGCTCTCAACGTTTTCCGCACAGCAATAGACGACCTCGGAGAGATTCTCGGCAGAATGCTGATGACGATGAACTTTGTCCTCTAAATGCTCGAAGAGCATTGCGAGTCACCAGACAGCGATTGATCGAGTCGTTGTCGTTCGCCACCGACTCTTCTCAGTGAGAATGGTGGCGTCCGCTACCACGTGGAACGCTTTGTGAGTCAACGTCGTCGGCGGGGTTTAACCCAATATCTTGTGAAGTGGCAGGAATACCCAGACTCCAAAAACTCGTGGAAGTTTGAGGTGCCACTTCGACAGGACTGGCTAGACGTTGTAGACGCTTATGAACAGAAGGATCATGACGTTTCGCGTTGTTGTACGCCCCGCATTTGTTGGCAATAGCCATGAAAGCCGAAGGGCCATGAGCGAGCTCAAGCTATGGCCCTGAGCTGCCGTGGTCGCAGACTAACCTGTGTGATCAACCATAGAACTTGCAGGAGCGTGGTGGATTAAATCATACGTCGCAGGGCGACAACACGAAGTGGTTCGCGACGCCCCTTGAGTTTAACAAGCTATAACCGAAGAAAGCTTTCCACGCACACGTCCACCTCCTTGTGGTTTCGCTGTAAATTGGATAGCGAGAAACGTTGCAGGTGCTGCTGCCCTCATCGCCCAATGAGCTTTTCGACATCTGCAGCGGTTTCGCCGGGGGCGAGCACATCAGGAATCGTCCGCATTGCGGGTACAGGAGCGCCTCCTCTGTGAGCGCGAATTCGTGTGCAGTACGTATCCAGCAGGATTTATTGTGAAACCAAAAAGCGGGCTTGCAGTATTCTTCTTTCATCAAGCTCAGCTTGTGTAATGGTCGGGGGCATGACCACAATGACG